CCACCCAGATTTAGACCTGCCAGTGCTGCCCCACGACCTCCAAAGTCCATGTAAGGAGTTGAGTTCTTGAGGACTGAAGAAAAACTATACTTTGGGAAAAAATAAAATGGAAATTATACTTAAAAAAAGAAAAAAGAAACTGGGCAGTGTCTGTGGTTCAGTGAGTAGGGCGCTGGCCCCATATACCAGGGGGCCCTGGCCAAACTGCAACTCAAACTCGGCCCTGGCCAAACTGCAACAAAAAAATAGCCAGGCACTGTGGCAGGTGCCTGTAGTCCCAGCTACTTGGGAGGCTGAGGCAAGAGAATTACCTAAGCCCAGGAGTTGGAGGTTGCTGTGAGCTGTGATGCCATGGCACTCTACTCAGGGTGATACTCTGTCTCTAAAGTGAGACTCTGTCTCTAAAAAAAAAGAAACTAAAAAAGGGGCAGTATAATATAAAATCTCTCATTATTTATAGTCAATACATAGCGAGGGAATCGAAGAGATGTTTTTAAAAAATTACCATTTTTACCTACAAAGTGTAGTCAATTTTTTTTTCCCTGAGACAGTCTCATTTTGTCACCCTTGGTAGAGTGCGATGACATCACAGCTCACAGCAACCTCAAACTCTTGGGCTCAAGTGATCCTCTTGCCTCAGTTTTTCATTTTTAGTAGAGATGGGGTCTCATTCTTTCTTGCTCAGGCTGGTCTTGAACTTGTGAGCTCAAATGATCCATTTGCCTTGGCCTCTCAGAGTGCTAGGATTACAGGTGTCAGCCACTGCACTTGGCCAAAGCATAGTCAATTTTATTAATCAAATATTTACAGATTATTTTTTATGTAAAAATTAAATGAATCCTTGGGAAAATAATGTATAAATAGTTAATTCCCGGCCTTAGCCATCTTATAGTCTAATAAAGGAGAAAAAAATATAGGACTTGGAAGCAAGAACTAGCTTAACATTTTTGATACTGTAGTCCTAAAAGGGGAAAATAAAAGTAGTGCAGAAAAAAAATGTATGAATAAGTAATGGCTAAAGATGCTCAAAATTTGAAAACTGACAAAACTTACAGATTCAAGAAACTAAGTGGGCCAGGCGCAGTAGCTCACACCTGTAATCCTAGCATTTTGGGAGGCCGAGGCCGGTGAATTGCCTGAGCTCACAGGTTTGAGATCAGGCTGAGCCAGAGAGAGACCTCACAGGTTCAAGACCAGCCTAAGTCAGAGTGAGACCTCATCTCTAAAAAAATAGTCAGGTGTTGTGGCAGGCGCCTGTAGTCCCAGCTGCTTGGGAAGCTAAGGCAAGAGAATCACTTGAGTTTAAGAGTTGGAGATTGCTATGAAGTATGACACCACAGCACTCTATTGAGGGCAACAAAATGAGACTCTGTCAAAAAGAAAAAGAAACTAAGTGATCCCAAACAGAATAAAACTAAAGAAATATACACCAGACATGACGTATCATAATCAAAGTGCTGAAAATAACAAAGCCTTTAAAAGCAGAGAAAAAAGATATAAGAAAATAACTCAAATAACTGTATATTTCTCATCCGAAACCGTACAGGCTAAAAGGTTTTAAAATGCTGAAAGAAAAGAAACGTAAGCCCCAGAATTCCATAGCCAGAAAAAAAATCCTTTAGGTAAAATAAAAGAAGACATTCTCAGAGAATTCACAGGAGCAGACCTGCTCTAAAAGAATTATTAAAAGAGGTTCTTCAGACAGAAAGGAAGTAATAGAGCAGTGGTGCGCAACCTTCCTAATGCTACAGCCCTTTAACACAGTTCCTGTGGGTCACGACCCACTGGTTGACAGCCGCTGTAATAGAGGAACTCTTGGAACATGAGAAATGAAGGAAGAGCAACAGAAATGTTAAAAATCTGGGTAAATATAATAAATTATTCTCTTGAGTTCTTTACAATATGTCAGTGGTCCCCAATCTTTTTGGCCCTAGGGAGTGGTTTCATAGAAGACACTTTTTCCATAGAGGTGGGAGAGATGGTTTCAGGATGATTTAAGCGTATTACATTTATTGTGCTTTCTATTTTTATTACACTGTAATATATAATGAAATAATTGTACAACGCACCATAAGGCAGAATCAGTGAAAGCCCTGAGTTTGTTTTCCTTTGCTAACATCACTGCCTCAGCTTCACCTCAGATCATTAGGCTTTAGATTCTCTTAAGGAGAACACAACCCACATCCCTTGCCTTCAGAGTTTACAGTAGGGTTCATGTTTCTATGAAAATCTAATGCCACCACTTATCTGACAGGAGGTAGAGCTCCAGGGGTGATGCAAATAATGGGAAGCAGCTATAAATGCAGATGAACCTTCTCTTGTTGGCCTGTTTCTCATTTCCTGCTGTGGGGCCTAGGTTCCTCACAGGTCATATATTGGTACCAGTTCACGGCCCAGGAGTTGGGGACTGCAGCAGTATATGATGGTTAAAAAGGAAACATTTTTAAAGTTGGTTGACAGGGTTTTCAATGTATTAGCTATGATACAAAGGTCAGTGGTTGGCAAACTTCCAGTAAAAAGCCAGAAAAACTTTCATGTGTGAAATAAATATTTTTGGCCTTGTAGGCCATGTGGTCTCTTTCACAATTACTCAACTCTGCCACTATAGGCCAAATGTGGCTAAAAATATGCAAAGTGAACGTGGCTATATTCCAACAAAGCTTTATTTATGTACATTTAAATTTGAATACCATATAATATTCATGGCTCACAAATACATATGTATATAAATGTTATATACCTATTTTTATTTATTTATTAAGTCATATACACGTAGATCATGAATATATTTATGCATGTGTGGTACAATTTTTTTTTACTATTATTTTTTTTAGAGACAGAGTCTCATTTTTTTGCCCTCGGTAGAGTGCTGTGGTACAGCTCATAGCAACCTCCAGCTCTTGGGCTTAGGTGATTCAAACCTGCCACCCTTGGTATATGGGGCCGGCACCCTACTCACTGAGCCACAGGTGTCGCCCTATTTATTTTTATTTTTTATTTTTTTGAGACAGAGTCTTAAGCTGTCGCCCTGGGTAGAGTGCCATGGCATCAATACCTCACAACCTCCAACTCCTGGGTTCAAGCGATCCTCCTACCTCAGCTTTTTTCTATTTTTAGTCTGGAACCTATTGGATCAAGTAATCCACCTGTCTTGGTCTCCCAGAGTGCTAGAATTACAGGTTTGAGCCACTGCACCCAGCCCTATTTCGATTTTTTTTGACCATTACAAATACAAAAACTAAGCTGGGTAGTATGGCCTATCTGTACTAAAAACAGAAAAATTAGCTGGGCATTGTGACAGGCACCTGTAGCCCCAGCTACTTTGGAGGCTGGAGTAGGAAAGTCCTTTGAATTCAGAAGTCTGAGGTTGCTGTGAGCGAGGCTTATGCCATGGCATTCTAGGCTGTGCGATAGAGTGGGATTCTGTCTCAAGGAAAAAAGAAAACAAACAAAAAACAAAAAGAAAACAGAAAAACAAAAAGCCAAAAACTATTCCTATCTTATAAGCCATACTAAAATAGGCAGTGGGCTATAGTGAGACAACTACAACATAAAGAAAGAAGGGAAGGCTTGGTGCCCGTAGCTCAGTGAGTAGGGCGCCAGTCACATGCACAAAGGCTGGCACATTCGAGCCCAGCCTGGGCCTGCTAAAGAGCAATGACAACTGCAACAACAACAACAACAACAACAAAAGAAGAAGAAGAAACAAATAGCTGGGCGCTGTGGCAGGTGCCTGTACTCCCAGCTACTTGGGAGGCTGAGGCAAGAGAACTGCTTAAGCCCAAGAGTTTGAGGTTGCTGTGAGCTGTGATGCTATAGCACTCTACTGAGAGCAACACAGTAAGACTCTGTCTCAAAAAAAAAGAAAGAAAAGAAAAGAAAAAAGAAAGGAGGGTAAAGGAAATTATATGGTGATAAGATTTGTATAGTCCACTTGAGATGATAAGAATACCAATTTTAGGTATATAAAACATTAAATAAGATATCTTATAATCCTTCGGCCAATCACTAAAAACTATACAAAGAGAGACAAAAGAGTCAGAGATAACCAAGGAGGTTGGAATCTAGAAAGTAGGTAGGATGGGGCCAGGATTGGTGGCTCATATCTGTAATCCTAGTACTCTAGGAAGCCTAGGTGGGGGTGTACTGCCTGAGTTCAAGGTTCAAGACCAGCCTGAGCAAGAGTGAGACCTCATCTCTAAAAATAGCCGGGCGTTGTAGCAGGTGCCTGTAGTCCTAGCTACTTGGGAGGCTGAGGCAAGAGAATCCCTTGAGCCTGAGGTTGCTCTACCCAGGGCCACAGAGTGAGACTCTGTTTCAAATAAAAAAATAATAATAATAAAATAAAATAAAGAAAAATATACTGTGGATAAGGCTGCTTTTCTGTGGAGAAGGGATCAAGGCACCAGCTGCTATAGGCCCTAGAGGACAATAGCACTGAATTGACTGATATTTCAGCATCCTAAAACCCATCAAGAACTTCTGACCAAATTAATACAAGGAGGAAGAGGAACTGGCACAAAATAAAAGGTATAACAAGTTATAAAGAAATTAGATTTAGGGGGGGCCAGGTGTGGTAGCACATACCTATAATCCTAGCACTCTGGGAGGAGAAGGCAGGAGGATTGCTTAAGCTCAGGAGTTTGAGGGCAACCTGAACAAGAGTGAGACCCAGTCTCTACTAAAAAATAGAA